CCCTGCACTCTGCTTTGAACACCACACACATGGGCTCACACACAGACACCCACGGTGCACCCAGGTGAACAGACGCAACGCCAGCACCCACATCTCCACAAGGATATGGAGAAGGCAGAACCTAGGACTGGGAGGTGATGCTGAGGTCTTGGGGAGGCTGGGGAAGTCCCTGGCTTCTCCCTGCTGCTTTCCTGCACAATCCTAACTTTTTGCCGAGAGCTGAGCACGGGCAATGGCAAGTGAGGCCAGGAAAGACGCAGTAGCCCACGCGTGTGCACTGGCCAGTGTGCTCTTCACCCTAGGAACGGGATTTGGCACATAGGACAGCAATCAGTTATTGTAGTCAGTGAGGTTTGCTATTGTCATGCTTTTAATTTAGTTTAACATTTCCACTTTTATGAAATTTTATATACTTAAGATGTCCAAAATAGTGATTTGATATACAAATATAATAAGAAATAATCTCTATGATCAAATTGGTTAATATGTTCTTCATTGCCGGTGTGTGTATACATGGTGTGTTTATGTGTGCGTGAATGTATGTTTGTATGTATGTATATGTGTGTGCTTGTATGTATAAATTTGTGTGTATATAAGTGTATGCTTATCTGTATATCCATGCATATGAATGTGCATATGCATGTGTATATATATTTATGCTTGTGTGTATGTGTGCTTTTGTATATGCATATATATGTGTATGTAAATATGTGTATGTACGTACATATGCATGTGTATATGTGTTTGTGCTTATGTGTATGTGTGCTTTTGTATATGCATGTATATGTGTATGTATGTACATATGTGTATGTATATTTTCATGTGAGTATATGAACATATGTATGTGTATGTATACTTTTGTGAGTATATGTCTGTATGTTTATGTGTCTGCTTGTATGTGTGCATATGTATGTGTGTATATGCATGTATATATATGTGTGTGTACATATATGTATGTATGCATATGTGTTTGCATGTGTGTATATATGTGGGTATGTACATGTGTGCATACACCATCACAGGCAGAGGCTCCTCCCCAACACACCATCACAGGCAGCCTCCTCCCCAAATCTCTAAGGTCATAGAAGAAAAGATGCAATGAAGATATTCCAGGGTACGCTGGAACCACGGTTAGTAGGGCAAAGAGTCAGGACCAACCTTTTCATTCCATTATCTCTTCATCCAATTGTCACCACACTCATCATCACTGGGTGTGCCCCTGCACTCCTAGGGGCCCATAGAAGCCTACGTCTCTTTTTTATATAACGTATTTATTCTTTTAAATTTCATTTTACAGTCCAACCATAGTTTTTCTTCACACCCCTCCTCCAATCTCCCTTCAGCCCGCCCCTAGACTACTCCTCCTCAAGGGTAAGGGCTCCCATGAGGAGTCAACCAAGTCTGGAAAATAGGTTGGGGCAGGGCTAAGCCCCGCTCCCATGCATTAAGACTGAGCGTGGTATCCTATCCTAGGGAATGAATCAAGATTATGTCATGTACTAAGGAATGTACCAAGGGAATGTACCAAGATTATATCATGGCCCTACTGACATTGAGCATGGCATCCCACCCTATGTAATGGGCTCCAACAAGCCCGGTCATGTACCAGGGATAGATACTGGTCCTACTGCCAGGGGCCCCTCTGATAGTCCAACCTTCACAACTATCTCCCACATATGGAAGGCCTCGTTCGGTCTCCTAGAGTCTCCACAACTGTTGGTCTAGCGTCCATGAGTTTCCATGAGCTTACTTCAGCTGTCTCTGTACACTTCTCCATTGCGATCTTGACCTCCACAATGGAAAAAGGAAAACATCTTTAACAAATGGTGCTGGCATAACGAGATGGTAACATGTAGATGGTTGCAGATAGATCCATATCCATCACCATGCACAAAACTCAAATCCAAGTGCATCAAGGACCTCAATATGAATCCAGCTACATTGTACCTGATAGAAGATAAAGTGGGAAGCAGCCTTGAGTGGCACAGGAGACCACTTCCCAAATACAACACCAGTGGCACAAACACCGTAGCAACCATCAATAAATGGGACCTCCTGGAACTGAAAAGCTTCTGTAAGGCAAAGGACCCTGTCAGCAAGACAAAGCGTCAGCCTATAGAATGGGAAAAGATCTTTACTAGCTGCACATCTGACAGAGGGCTGATCTCCACAATATACAAAGAACTCAAGGAACTAGACATCAAAAGACCAAATCATCCGATGAAAACACGGGGTACAGATCTAAGCGAAGAATTCTCACCAGAAGAATCTCAAATGGCCCAAAGACATTTAAGAATCCTAACAGTCTTAACTGCCGAGGAGCCAAAGAGCATGCCCAGTGCTATAAGCAGCAGGTGCCTAGCATTGAGAAAGGGATTTATTTCCTGAGATTCTCATTCCACAGATGTTTCCTCACCTTAGCAGCTGAATTGCCGCCTCTCAAAAACACATGGGAAGTCGTGGCACTCCCAACGCTGGTGACAATGGGACAAACTGTGATGTCTGGCTGACTCATCTGGAAGTAAGAAGAGAAGATGAGTTCCTGAAATAGTTCTCTGTAATGCCAGTCTTTCAAGATGGAGTGCAATGGCCTGGAAGAGCTGCATTTGATCTGTGTGGATTCCCCAGGTGTTTAAAATATGGAGCTAAAAATCCAGGAGACAGCATATAGGAAGTTCATGGCACAGAGAGCCACGGTCCAGCAGGGCAACAACTGGGTTTCAGGTAGCACTCTGCCAGGTCCTGTCTCAACTTCTGCACCCACTAGGCTGTCTGCTTATTCTTATAGAAAGTTGAGCTTGGGCGAGAAGGGATGTCAAGGTTTGGGAACGTCATAACCAAAGAGGTTCGTCTGTTGAGGGCTTGTGTTCTAGTTTGTGGGACTATTGCAGGAGATTGGGCCAAGAGGATGTCAAACTCACCAATGGGCCAACCCATCCATAAGTCCACACTAAATGGGCTTTAAGGGGGTGGCGCCAAGCTGGAGGGAAAAGGTCATCTTTTGGCATGTTTTTGAAGGCGTATGCTCTTCTGAGTTCTCCTCGTCTCTATCCCCAGCTGCCCATTCTGTCCCACTATGCCACAAGGCAGGTAACTCTGTCCTACTATGCCCTTCTCTGATGCCCTGCCTCACCGTGGCCCAGAAACAATGGAGCCAAGTGATCACAGACTGAGGCCTTGGAAACCGTTACACACATGTACTTCCTGCTTTAAGTTGTTTTCCTTTAGTACTCTGTCATAGCAGCGAAAAACGACTGACACAGAGTATCATCTCACAGTAACAAGAAATCCAGTGCCAACAGGTATCCTAAGCTATCTGACCACACCGGAGGATTTCTTAGCATATCTTGGCATCTGCCTGGTGGCCTTGGAGAGAGTGTGTCACGGAGTAGCATCTGTTAACGTTAGGTCTTCTTAGTGGTAAAGAAGACTCCAATATGGTAAGGAACATGCTTTTACAGTTCAGGGCCCTTTCCAAGTGAAACAGAAAGTGCAGACTGTCACAGTCTACACTGGCTGACTTACTACTGACCTTGTCACAGTGAAAAAGCAAACAGCTCCCAGTAGGAGACATACGCCAATCCTGGGTCCTTTTCCTGGGATAGCTCTATGCAGTAAGACACTTTCTCCTGGACCCAGCAGGATCAGGCTACACCTCCCAGTCAGCCATGCAGTCACAAGGGCAACCGTCAGCACACCACAGCACATTGTGAAGTTTAACAAAGGCATTCATAGGAAGGCACATGGAACAGACTTTGGATGTGATATTTCAGCCTGGGTCCGCCTCATCCCAACCAAGGATCATCTTCATTGTAAACACCCATCCGCCAAGAAGCATCTTAGACAGATTCCACCCCCAGGAAGCAGACACGCTCATCGTAGGCACCTTTATGGGGTCAGACTTCTCAGCCACAGACACTCTGGCCACCGTTTGGGTGGAACAGGCCGCAAAGGGGAAGTTGAAGGCAATGGCGGTGGGGTTGGGGGAGTTGAGCTATGTAAGGAGCCATGTGTGAATCCTCCATTCTATCCTTTTCTAGACTAACTTGTTTGTTTGGTGCTTCAAAGCGGTGTTTGTATTGCAAGCCTCTTCAGAGAGCCTTTTTTTAAAAATTGTGCATCAGACGGTTTTTCCGGAATGCTCCAGAAGCTTCACGCCCGGGACTCTTCCGTCATCTAGAGTCTGGATTACAGACATATAAGCAGTGTCCCTTCCCCACTGAGTGCACTTGGGTTCCATGCTATCCTAGCCTGCTCTCTCTGTTGCTGCGATGAACACTGTGACCCGAGGCAACACGGGAAGACAAGGGTTTATTTGTCTTACGGACCCTGATCACAGTTAATCGGAGAGGGAAATCAAGGCAGAAACTGGGAGGCGGGACTAAAGCAGAGAACACAGAGAAATGCTCTCCGTGGTTTGCTTAGCCTCCTTCTCCCTCCCTCCCTCCCTCCTTCTCTCCCTCCTTCCCTCCCTCCCTCCCTCCCTCCCTCCCTCCCTCCTTCCTTCCTCACTTCCTTCCTCACTCATTATATTTTATTATTTAAAACAATATTTAAATTTAAATGTATCTTAATCATATTATTCCCCTCCCCCAAGTCTTTCCAGATCCTCTCCCTTCCCTACCCACCCAACTTTGTAGTTCTTTCTCAAAACAACAACAAAAATACAATCCCCCCAAAACTAAGAAAAACTAAAACAATGCTAAAAACCCCAACAAAACTAAGAAATAAAACCCACCAAACTCTAACCAAATAAAAGCACGCACGCGTACACACACACACACACACACACACACACACACACACACACACACACACACACACAAACCCTGTGGGGTCTACTATATATTGGGTAACGACTCCTGAACATGAGGTTTACCCTGGAGTGGCTGACATACCTAGGGTCACCCCTTTCGAGAAGACTGATTTTCCCTCTCCCAGTAGATACAAATGACAGTTCAGTTAACCTTTACCCTAGTAGCTAGGTATTCATTCACTCTTTCATTTTTAAAACTAAAACTATAGTAAGCTAAAACAAAATCTATCACACTGAAGTTGGACAGGACAAATGAATAGAAGAAAGAGGGCCCAAGAAAAGGCACAAAAATCAGAGGTCCACTCTTTCCCGCACTCAGGAATCCCACAAAAAACACTGAACTGGAAGCCAGGATACACTCTCTTAGAACCTGGTGCAGTTCTATGTTTGTGCATGTTGATCCAGAGGACCTTGTTTTCTTGGTGTCCTCCGTCACCTCTGGTTCTGATGGTCTTTCTGCCTCCTCTTCTGCAGGCTTCTCTGAGCCCCAAGGTGAGGACTTTGATGGAGACATCCGATTTAAGGCTGAGTGTTCCAAGGTCTCTCTCTTCTCATTCTCTGTGTGATATCACCGTATCTGTTCCCATCTGCTGCAGGAGGAAGCTTCTCTAATGGTGGCTGAATGAGGTACTGATCTATGAGTATAGCAGAATGTCATCTAGAGTCATTTTATTAGTATGTCTTTCCTTCCTTCCTTCCTTCCTCCCTCCCTTCCTTCCTTCCTTCTTTCCTTTAGACCATTGCTGTTTTGTTTTCCTCTAGGTCCCTGGGCTACCCAGTCTCTGGATCTTGGTCACCCAAGCAGTGTAGGATGTGAGTTCCTTCTTGTGGAGTGTGCCTTATGTCAAATCAGTAATTGGTTGGCCACTCCCACAAACTAAGTGGGGCCGTTGCCCTAGCATATCTTGAAGGCAGGACACCATTGTAGGTCAAAGGGTTTGTGTCAGCCTGATTTCTTATAGAACCCAGGGCCACTGTCTCAGGAGTGACACTGCCCACCATGGCCTGGGCCTACCCCCATCCACCGTTAATGAAGAGAATAGCCTGATGGAGGCGTCTTCTTAACTGGAGTCCCCCTTCTCAAATGACTAATTTGTGTCAAGCTGGCAAGATAACAAAAAAAGTAACATTGTAACAAAGGGGAATTGTTGTGAAACTAGAATTCCCAAACAAATGCCCAAATCCCAAGAAGTACAGCCGTTGGAAGGACAGTAGAGGGCTACTACCACCTATGAGAAAATAAATACGCTTTGGAATGACTCCAGACTGACTCACCTTCTAGGAGATGCTCATGGAGCTTTGGCTGTTTATCTTCACCTTTTTTGTCAGCCACACGGTCTTCCGGTACTACGGCGAGTCGGTATTACACACCTATGGCTGGGACCTTGAACATCATCCCTTCTGGGTGGGTTGGGAGCCTAACTGGCACCCCCCACCCCCACCGAGGTTCTGCTGCTCAAGATCCTATGGAAGATGACAAATCCAAGGAAACCTAGCCTTCAAGGCCAAGGCTAGGTCTAACCTTCCAGGGTATCCCTGCCATTCACCCCAACCCTGAGGTCTTACCCTTCAAAATGAACACAAGACAAACAGCTTCTCTCTCCATGACTGTGTGCAGCTTAGCAGAATGCCTATGAAGACTGCATAAATAATTCACATCACTCAAGAGGTGGTGAGCCGAACAAGTCCCTTCTGGTTACATTTATTTAAAGATAAGGTAAGACTAAGTGAGTGATGGCCCAGTTACAGAGGCCAGGGTCCAAAGGGGATTGGGACATTCTAAGTTACACCACCAGAGTGATTTGTGCAGAATTATGTCAACTTAGAGAGCCTGACACCTGGGGGAAAAGGAAATGTCTCAGCTCTAAGAAAAGCGATCTGAGATGAGTGTTTCTCAAGTTAGAGCCTCAGAACGAACTCTACAGAATTCAGTGGGGCACAGGCAAGGACCAAAATTTCTCTTCTAACCGTAAAAGAATTCTGAATGAGCGGACCTGCAAATGTTGTCTCTGCCAGGAATTTCACTGAGGTACTACTGGGCATCCCTGGGGCTGCCTCTCCAGGGTAAGCTTCTCCATGCAGGAAGTCTCTCTTTCTAGAAGCATGGTGAATGTTCACAGCGATCCTCACAGGTTGGGATTTGAGTCAGCTGGTGAGGAAAATATTGTTTCAGAGCTCAAATGGAGGGTGAAATTCATGGCCAGTAGCTGGATCAGCAAAGGCTGGGAGAGACCACGAAAATGGGCACCTCCCAGACAAACACGGTACTGCACACTTCTGCAGATCCAATGCCTTTCTAAAGGCATCACAGGCTGCCTTGGCAACACTTGTAAGCTACGGAGGCATGCTCAAGTCGCAGGCCATTACTAGGAGAGATGGTGGACTTTCCTTAATGATGCTTTTGTCTGGGGGCAGTGAAGTAGAGAGGGTATGACTTGACCCATGCGTTTCTGTTCTAATCCCAGCACTCAGGAGGCAGAGACAGAAAGAGCCTGAGTTCAAGGCCAGTGTGGGCTACATAGTGAGAATAAAAAAAAAAAAACCAAAGAGGTAACTCTGTGGCTAAGAGGACCACGGGATTGGACCTGAGTTCTATTCCCAGCACCCATGCTGGACAGTATCTGTAACTCCAGCTCCGTGGGGATCCCAGCCACCACAGGCATCTGACTCCAATGTGAGCACTTAAACACACACACACACACACACACACACACACACACCAGAAATAAAGTAAATCTTTAAAAAAGGCACCCCTCAACTGACAAGATAGATGGATATTTTTCTGTCTTTATCTGAATTCCTCCATACTGTAGCCACATTTTCATATTTTTGCTTTTTCTCTTTGGCGCTGTGACTCCTGAACATTCCACGGGAGACTTTTAGAACCCAGTAATAAGGAAATTGCACCGCCAGCTGACAATAAAATTTACGGAGCAAAGAATGCTTCTGTTAATACTTTCTGAACGTCTTTGTTTTTGAACGACCGACCGGGATGCCTACAATATTCCGACTCAGTAACCCTGCCTCCAGCAGGCACAGTTAGCGGGGTTGACAGATAGATGCAGCCTTGTGCATAATCCTTGCTGCACCGAATTTTCGTATTTAAACGCTTATTTGATGTTTAATTAATTTCTTTTTTCCAAAGTGGAAAACTTCCAAGCTGCCTCTGGAAGCAGGCTGGCTTGTTTAAAATGTTTTTGTTTTAAGAACACGATGAAGGAAGGAGGAGACCTAGGGAAAGGTTTACGTTTTTTTTCCTGTTGTTTTTTCAAATGCGGCGTGGCACCACCCAAAAGGCTCCTGAAAGTGCAGCTCTCTGTGTGAGGGCAGAGCGACGCACCTATGAGTCTCACATCATCAAAGAAACAGACGTGTATCTATAATTTATGCCGTGCTTTAAGCTTCTGCTGATCTGATGTGGCTTTTTAAAGACAACACAGGCTGCTGTGGCATCTCTTGTCAATCACTGGGGCATGCTCAAATCGCAGGCCATTACTGGGGGAGACGATGGAGTTTGTTTAATGACGCTTTTATATGGGGCGCGCTGGCAGTGAAACAGAGAGGGTCTGACTTGATCAATGCATTAGTCTAATCCCAGCATCTCTGCTCTTAATTTCTTTTGTCGGCAGTTTCCATACAAGGGCTATGTTGAGGATCCTGGCAAAGACCAGCTTGCTGTGTGCGGTTCCCTCGCTTGGGTCCTGCTCACTCTGTGGGAGGCCGTGTTTGCAGGGGAGAAGTGAGGCAGGCTGGACCAAAGTTGTCTTTGAGTCCCAAGCCTGTTGCAAGGGCTGAGAAAACCCACCCCTCGTGAGTCCTGGCTTCAGCTCCGAAGTGCGCGCCAGCCCAGTAGCAGACCCTGGGCCCTGCCAATCTCAGCCCCGTCGGTGATTATATTCAGGAGTTCGCCAAAAGTGGAATCCGTGTATAATGAACAAGTCTCATGTACAACATTTTAAGTGTCTATTTATGAGTCCTGATAATTAGCCCTTTGTCTGCAATTTCGGCAATGATGATTACAATTCTATCTCACATTATTAGTGTCGGGTCTCCAAACTCGCCCCCCTCGCCTGGAGGCTAACCAGCAGGCGCACACCTGAAAAGCAGGGACCGCAGTGGGGATTTGGCTTCTGCCTGGCCCCTCCAGCACCCTGGCTCGTCCGACCTTGCAGAATCAGCTTTACTCGCTTCTGCTCTCAACCTACTTCTCACTCAGACCGGTTCTCACCCCGAATGGTTGCTTGTTTAACATAACACCCTACCCAGGGTATCTGTGCCTCCTGAAAGATCCCATTAGGATGCTATAAGGTTTAAGATTCTTTCCAAAAGAATCATTCCCAGGATCAGAATATTACAAGGGAGGCCAAATTGTCTCTAATTATAACCTCCAGAAAACTGGGGGACTTTCCCAAATGGAGGAGATGGGGAGAAGAGAACTACAGAAATATTTGCATGAAAAGTAATATTCTTTTTTTTAAGCGATCAAATCATGTAAGCATACAAATAAATGTATTTTAATGAGGGTAAAATTACTAGTTAATGAGTTTGCTTTGGGGTTTGTATCTTTGGTGTAAAAATATATAAATGCTTTTATTAAGGTTGTACCTATTATTTTCTAAATGAACACAAACACAAAATCTAATCCATTT